CTTCCCTTCTGTCTGCAGCACCACCCACGCTCCCCCTTCCCTCCCAGGTGCGCTGAAATCCTACCTGCGGGAGCTGCCCCAGCCTCTGATGACCTTCGAGCTCTACGATGAATGGGTCAAAGTGGCCAGGTAGGCCAGAGCAGAGAGACTGAAAAGAGACTGATGGGGCACTGCCACCCCCCTTTGCCTTTCCTAGCACTCAAAGCAGGGTTGCTCAGCCTCATTTTTCACAAGAGAAGATAAAAACACAGCTCCCGGTCCAGCTGCCACTTCTATTCGATGCCCAGCAGAAATTCAGATGGCCCAGAATCTCAGCTTGGATTTAAAAATGAGAATAGCAATAAAAACAAGGCAGGGAAGGAGGGAGGGCTACAGCCTTTTAGTGCACTGACAGCTTTCTGCTTAGCCTATAAAGATCACCTTGGCCTTGGCCTAAAACAGTGCCTCAAAAGCATAAGCTCCACTGGCCTGCTTCCACCTCCCAGGCCCATCAACCCAGTGGCTATCCGGCCTGTTGCTTTTGAGATGGAAGGAGTGGTGGAGGAAATACAGTAAAAAAAGCCTGGGGAAAGGGCAAGAGAAGAGCAAATCCTGGAAAGGGATAGGAGCAACTTTCTAAGGGGATTGGCTCAGTGCAAAACCCATGTAGTCCTGATGAAAGAGGATTACTACTCATAGAAGGGCTGCGCTCTCTCCAAGGCTCCTCCACAAACTATATTCATATCATAGTAAAACTCCTTGGGCATTTGGGGTAGTATTTTGTCCTCTGTGGATGCCTGGCCCACATGACCCAATATATGCAGCAGCATTTGGCCTTCTCCTCTCAGGGCATCTGCTATCCCAGGGCTGTGGCCCACACCAGGCGGCCAACGTCGGCCTTTCTCCCTCGCACACCATGCCCATCTTTGTTGCCTGGAGCGGACCAAACTCTCCTCTCCTCCCTCTTCTGTCTCGCAGCTTCAAGGACCTTGATGGCCGAGTACAGAGTCTCCAAGACACCTGCAGCCGCCTGCCCCAGGAGAACTACAATAATTTGAGGTGTTTTGCAGGGATGGGGTTATTTTTCCCCATGCGATCACTGGGGCAGCCATTCCCTTCCTCGAGCCATACTTACTGCCCTCCCACCCTCTTTTTACCCCACAGGTATCTGATCAAGTTTTTAGCCAAGCTGGCCGAACACCAGGAGGTGAATAAAATGACACCCAGCAACATTGCCATTGTGCTGGGCCCCAACCTGCTCTGGGCACAGCAGAGCACAGAGTAAGGCTGCGTTGACTCGGTGGGATGGGAAGCAGCTCCTCTGCCTTGGAAAAGGATTTTTGCTAATCCTGCAGGCCACCTACACCTCTTCCATCCTTAGGTCCTGTCCCTCATCCCCTACCATCCTGGAGCACTACATTCCCTCCCCAAGCTCATGTCCTCTTAGCCAGTCTGCAAAGCAGCAAATGTGCCCTCCCTGCATCCCTACATTCACCCTCACTGTCCTGCATCCAGGCCTCCAAGTGTCTCTCTCTGATGTCCCCTTAGCCCCTCAGTCCTCCCTCACTCTGTAGTCTCTTCCAGAGCCATCCCAGGCCTGACATCTCCTACACAACTCTCTGTACACCCCCAGCCTTTCATCCACACCTGGCCCTTATACACCTGCGTGCCTGCCATTCTCCACCCTTCCACCAAGGTGTACAGACTAAAAGGTGGAGCCCTAGCCCACTCGTGACATGGATGACCTCCAACTGTGTTGGAAGCCAGGTTTCCAGGATAGAGAACAGGGCTCGCTTCCCCTGGTGTGTCTCCCCTTCGGGCCTCTGCCCTCAGAAGGAATTAACATAAAATAGGTTAATTCCCTTTAAGTCCTTTCCTGATGCCTCCCCCACCTCTCTTTCTCAGAGACCCCGTGCAACTGGACTTGGCCTCTGTCTGCTCCATCCAGGTGGTGAGCATTGTGGAAGCCCTCATCCAAAACGCGGACACCCTCTTCCCTGGAGGTAGGGCCAAGGTTTCTCTTTGTCCTTTCTTCCTCGGGAGCAGTAACAGAGGGTGAAGGGCACAGAGAAAAAGCACTGGGTCCCGCTGCAATTGCAAAGAGCAGGGGGATCGATGAAGAGCATCCCACACTGGTTGGTTCCGTCACGTCCATCTGTGGCTGCTGCAGAAGGGGTTTTCAGCAGGGCATAGGACTGCTTATCTGCAGTTCATGTTGGCAGCAGGGCAGCTGGCAAAATGAGCCAGATCTCTGTCCTGCTTTCATATAACCTGCTCAAACCAGAGGCTCAGATCCTGTTCTGGGAAAGCCAAGGGTCTCTAATCCCCCTGTCCACTGCATTCAGAGCACCCTCACAGATGGGGCATTTAACCTCAGTGAGGAGTTGGTATCCCACCGAGCTTGGAGCTCAGAGGGACTGTGAATCAAGGGCTCAGTGGGAAGGGAGCAAGATTTTGCCTCTGTGAGAGACCTGCCTTTTTGAGCTTGGTCCAAGTTCCCAGCTTGGGCAAGCTTGTGTCTCCTAGAGGTACCCTCACATTAATCTGCTGAATGCAGGTGTGTCTGAGCCACAAGCTTGTCGTTTGTGCCTAGCTGGAGACTGTAACCCTGCTTCAAACACTGTATAAAAGCAAATCAGCTCTCTTCCATCCATCTTCCCTGCTCATGCCCTCAGACACCAAAGGGCTCGTGGAAGAGAGCCCTAGCAGCAACATCAGGCTTCAGGGAGGCCAGCAGTCCCATCAGGTGGGACTGCTGCCCCAACTGTGCACATGGGTCTCTGCCCCCCAGGGACAAAGTGCTGGGGCTATGCGGGAGGAGGAAGGAAAAAGGACATTTTCCAATCCCAAGAGACGTTAATCCCCAGGGTCAGGCTGTCCTCGCTACCTCAGCAAGCTGAGGTACCACTCAGGAGGAGGGAAGCAAGGCTCTGCGCAGGGAGGCAGGTGGGCTCTGGAAGCTGCTCCATGGCTGGGCTATACCCACCCACAGCCTGCTCTGATTCCTGGCCTTGGGATGAGCCCTGTGCAGCATTCGGCATAGCTTTGCTTCTAGTACAGTTTTCTCAGGGGTTCCTTCCTTTCTCTCTACCTAGAGATAGATTTCAACGTCTCGGGCATGTTCACACCGCCTGCGAATGCTGTACTTATCAAGGCCAGCCCGGTAGAGGAGCCATCTCCCGAGTCCCCTCCAGCCAGCACCCCTGCTCTCCCAGCTGAAGAAGTGTAAGTCTGGCAGGAGCTGGCAGCCCTGGCTGTCTTGGCTCTCCTCAGACAGCTGTCCTCCCTTCCCATCCCGCCCCATGCCATGCGCCCATATCTTCGCACACAGCCATGGGCTAGGCATGAGGTGCCTCATGCCCAGGACCAGCTGTGCCCCATGGAAGCACTGACTCCCACCATGAGCAGGATGCACTAACTCCTACCATCAGCAGGATAACCAAAGCCTAACTTGCTCCTTTTTCCCACAGCACAAAGGACCCCAAGGCGAGTTCTCAGCCAGCTTCCCCAACGGTGACCAGATCTTCTCCTGAAGCTGCAGGGCAGCTGGCTCCGACACCAGCCAAGTGACACCGCCCGCAAAGGTTAGGCTACAGGAGCAGGAGGCCCCAGGCCACACACTAGGATGATGGCAATGCTCAGGAGATATCCACAGGGCCTGACAACCCCACTGCCATGTTCTCCACTTGCCTTCATCCCATCATACCCCAGAAGAAAGGGTGCTGTGAGCAGCCCTTGTTGCCAAACGGGAGGAGAAGGGCCTGTGGCCAGGCTGTGTAGGCAGGATTGCGGCCCCTCATTTTGTGCTTTCAATCCCCAGCGAAGGTAGGACCATGGGATGGACATAGCTGGCCCTCTGGTGGAAGAAACTCCCTTCTTTCAGAGACATTAAAGCTCAGGGTCTCTTGTGGAGGGAAGATGGCAGGAAAAGCCCCCAAAGCTGGCTTGTGCTCTGCCCTCCCAGCTCAGTGTTCCAGGATGGGATGTAGGAGCCAGGCAAAGGGTAGTGTGGCCATCTCTCTGTCAGGTCTGAGGCCCTGTATGTGACCAGCACCGCAACCCCCTCTCCCCTGGGGATGCGGTGAGACCTGCATGGAGGGGAAGCCAGCCTATCTTGCCTTTTTCTCCAGGTAAGCGCCCGGCCCCAGCCCGGCCCACAGTGCCACCACCGCCCGTGGCCCAGCCCCGCAGCTCAGCTCCTGCCCCTGTGGCCC